GGTCTTGCATTTTAATCATTGCATTGGGTAGATTACTGTCACTGAGGGTTAAGAGGGTATCGTCAGCGAACAATTTTACCTTACAATACTTCAATACTGAGTTTATGTCGTTGATATAAATATTAAAACGTATTGGAGCTAACATCGACCCTTGTGGTAGACCAATATCTACTGCTACGTTTGTGGATAGAGCTGTGCCAATCACCGTTTGTTGCTTCCTATCAGAAAGAAAACTACGGAACCATGTAAGTTCGATGCTATCTATACCAATATATTCGAGTTTTTTAGCATTATTTCCCTGCCGATCGTCTCGAAGGCTCTCTTAAGGTCCACAAACACCTCCAACATAGTTTTCTTGGAATTTAGGCCCTCCTTCCATTGTGATAAGATCAAGTTTAGAGCTGTTTCGCATGAGTGATTATCCCTAAAACCTGACTGCTCCTTAATGAGTATTTTATTTGACTCAATATAGTTTAATATTTAGTTGATTTTTGCAACCGTTTCCAGTATTTTTTCTAAGTTGGGAAGGGTGTTTGTTGGTCTGAGTTCCTCCTATTTTATGGTGTTTTGACCTTTTTTATTGGGACAATGGTCGAAGTTTTCATTGCGCAAGAACTATGGGCTGAGCTCCTCGAAGCAGTGTCTGTTTTGCCATATTTTATAATTCCAGGGCTGATGAAGTAATGAAGTTTCAAACTTGCCTTTAAGGTCAGCAGGAAAAAATAAGTAAATGCGAATTCTTTTAATTTTTTTCACTCCGTTTTAATGTAGGGTGTATAAATAAATTATATACATTTGTACATATGTACATTTCAGCTTGCACTAAAATTATTATTAATTTATAGTATTTATATGTATCAATATATTTGTATGTAGTATATGTAAGATGTGCTTAATTAGCTACTTAAATTTAATTAAACTGTGATAGTGACAAGAACAGAAGTGTTTATAGTTAAACAAATACATACAATAAGTTTAATTTTTTAAATTTCAAAATACGTAAATATGTACTATATTTATATGTATGTACATATGCATGTGTGTTTGTATGGGTAAGCAAATTAGCTGTGATGTTTGGTTAGCTCTTTTTTCGGTTGATCTATGTACATACATATATGCACAAACATAGGCCTACATTTTGGGGGAAAAATACGGCTATTGTGTGTGTGTGTGTGTGTGCAGAGGGAAAAACTTAAAACAGTTTTATAAGTAAGAGTTTGGCATTAAAATAAATATTCGCTCGCTAAATATTACATTGTTTAATATAGTGTTACATAAGAGTTTATTTCTTGTACGTTTTTGTTGTTGTTGCTATTTTGTATTTTGTACAAATTATGCTAAGCAAGGGATGTTTTAACTAAATAATCTGTTAGTTTTATGTATGTACCTACATATGTACATATGTCTGCATACTCTTATTTCCAACAAAATTTACGCTTTAAACTATGTATATTTTATAGTATTGGTCATCTTAACTAAATTTTATGCCTTCATAAATTACGCTAAGAATTAATTAATTCACTCAACATTATGCTTTTATTTATTTCTCTTTCATTTGTTTAAAAAAAATCAACGCCCGCAAACGAATGTTGGGCTCGGCTCTTCTAAGGCTTTTTTAAGTAAGTAAGCCCAGTGACTTAGAAGGAAATAAAAAAAATAAAAATAAAAATAAAAATAAAAATTATCGCGAAAGAAAAAATCTGGGTACTGATTTTCGTAAAATGGCACTCGAACCATTTTGCGTGAAGTTTATGTTTATTACGCTAAAAATAACACATGAATGCCAAAATAATTTCCATTTTTCGAAAAAAAAATTTTGGGCTTTTGAATGTGAATTTATTTATCTAACTCACTCTTAAATTGAATATTATAAATAACTGCTTGGTCATAATTTTTTGCGAGTAAACACTTTATTAATTTAAAATTAAAAAAAAAATAAATAAATATAAACTTTCAAATATAAACTTCATATTATGTATGTACATGAATTTTAACCTTAAGCGTAGGCAAATGCATGATTATAATTTCTCACTGACGCAGTCTCAATGCGTTAGTTTTCTTTCAATTTTTCTCAAAGGGTATGAAGGTAAAATATTAAAAAAAAAATGTTTTTCTCACACGTAGTCGTTTTTATTTTATAATATGCTTCGCTTTTGTTGGTGCAATGCGACATTTAACGTCTACGTTTACTAATTTTAAATATGCCGATTTTTATACAAATATTTCATATATGTATGTGTACATATCTAACGGTCAGAAAATTTCTGGTGTTTTTTGGTTTTTTCAAATTTTTCCATGTGCTCGCAGTATTTACGTATTTTACGCATTAAGTTTAGTAGGCATGGTGTCATTTCGATCGGTTATTCGCTCGATCGGTATATGTACATATATACTAGTGTACATATGTATTTACAAATACAAATGTAATCTTTAGGTAGGTACGCTCGATATATTGTACACTTAAAAATTATTCACAGCTTTTTTCAAAGTGTTTGCGTTGTTCAGTTTTTTATTTATCTTATTTTCCTATTTTTTTTTTTTTAACTTTCATTTTACTACTAGTGAATCTTCAAAGGTTTTTTTTTTTTAAATTATTACTAGTCTCCTCAATCACTGGTCGACATTGCCATTACTACATTATTCTCCTGATCCATCGCTATTGGCAAGGGCAAATTGCTGTTGTTGTTGTTGGGCGCCAAAGCGGCAATCGCTGGCGCTGCCGCTCCTGCTATCGCCAGCGCCGTATTTGTTGATTCACTGACAACTGTGGCAGTGGCTGCGCTCTCGTCAGCTACTTCGCGTATTGACATGCACGATTGCGATTGCCGTATCGGTGCGAAGGTGGACCGCAGGTTGAGTCGCAGTTTGGCGGGCGAATGGCGTCTCGGCATAGCGGTGGGAGTGCAACAGAGGAAGGGTGATTGTGCGGCAGATAAAGCAGTCGATGGTGAAGTCGGCGTCGAGGCTGAAGACGAGGTGCATGAGGAGGCGGAGAGCGATGACGACGAGGCCGAAGATGAGCAGGGGGCCTCCACCGAAGTGCAATGCGATAGCAGAGTTGCGGGCGTGCCTGTGGGCGGTGGCCATGTTAGCCGCAACGCTTGACTATTGCTGCTGCTGCTGCTGCTATGGCTGCTCAGTGTGCTGCGCGCATCCTCGAACAGGTCATCACTGGCATCATCATCGCCGGCGCACAGTTTACGCTTGGCCTCGGCAGGCCGCTTGCGTAAAAGCGACGCATCGGTCTCATCTACATCTACATTCTGGCTAAATTCGACTTGACTAGATGTTGGGGTGGTGGGTGTGGTGGCCGCCGTAGGTGTGGCCGGCTTCAAAACGCCACTCGTGCGTAAGCTTTGTTCCAGCTCCAGCAGCTGGCCCATGAAGTTGAGATTGGGCGAAATGATGGGTCGCGCCCCCTTGACCAACTTGTAAGCCTCGAAGAGCGAAAGTGATTTGTAGCGCATGACATAGGCGATGGCGATAGTGGCGCTGCGCGAAATACCCGCATGACAGTGTAGCAGTACGCGTGAACCGGTTTTGCGTGCATCCTCTGTGAAAAAACAAAAGAGAGAAAAAGTGTAAATAAGAATTATGCAACAGCTATTTTGGTACATTATTTTATAGTACAACAAAAACTACATATGTGGGCCAATTGCCCGCTATCGTTGAGTGGAGTCATGTTCGCCGTGCGCAAAGTTTGTGATCGATGAACGCTTATCAAAAACTTCTTCTTTCAAACGCGATATATTTTTAAATCTATGCCATCATCTTTGTAACACAAAAGCCAGTGATGATCTAAGCGTTCACCTCTAGAGTACGAGTATTATCAGCTACATTTCACTACTACTATACATAACAGATTGCACAAACACAGTAAACGTTTGTATTGTATTTATCTACGACGCATGCAGTATTTACCAATACACTCAACCACATATACAAAAGTAGTTATGAGGCATTCTTTATCAACAGAAGCCTCGCTCTCTCCAAAATTTGTTCAGGGTAAGAAAAAATTCAGTCATAGTATTGAAAATTTGGTAAAAATATTTAATTTTAGGTCCATTCTTACTGACTAAAATCTGAAAAGTGTCAAAATGGAAGAGCATAAAATGCGCTCACTAAAAGAGTATAAAAAGAAAAAGTAAAGGAACGCAAAAAAAACCAAATTTTTTGTTCAAAGAATGGCAAAAACAAAACTAATGTCAAATAAAAATGGAAATGTATGTACAAAACACATTCAAATTCACACAAGCACAAGCACAATAAACACTTACGGGTACTATATCAGATATTTTTTGCCTACTTCCATTTTCAATTAACTTTTTTTAGTTTTAAGATTATTCTCACTTTTCGTTTATTCTTTAATTTCCGTTAATTTAAATTTAGTTGGTTTGAGACTTTTCAAGATTTTGCCAGCAAAAATTCTTCTGACTAAATCTTTTAACTTTGGACTGAAGAGAGTCACAGTTGTTCTCTCATTTCTGCTGTTATTTTCAAGTTAAGAAACGCTTTTTGGACTAAATCTGACTACTTTGGACTATTTTTAACTATTTATGGGAGATAAGGAACGCAACTTGCAAATCGTGAATGATGTTTTTTGAAAACTAATATGGCCGACAAAATTTTGAAAAATTATTGAATTTGCTTGAAATACTATGTTACTCGGGGGTTTTTGATCCGTTGAACACGACATTTTGAAAATTCAAAATTTTTCATTGCTTAATTCATTTACTCTCTTCTCTATCCAAAATTGATTGAGGAAAAAAATCAGACATCGTATTGAAAATTCGGTAAAAATATTTACTTTTAAATTTTTTGGATTCACTTGAAACTTTTTACTCGGCAGGTTTTTGGGATCGTTATACACGATTATGATAATCAATTTTGAAAATTCCAAAATTCGGTAAAGATGCTAGCTTTTAAATGCTGAGGGACGTTTTTTGAAATGCAATATGTCGGGGATTCGCGGGATCGCTGGTTAAAAATATTCCGCCATCTTGGAAGCGTAATTTTGAATTAAAAAAAAATCATGCTTAGATTCATAATCGCGTGTAAAAAGTTACGAGGGAATTCCATAAATTCTTAAAAACTTTTCTGCCATAAAGAATAAAAAAAAAAACCATTCATCATTTAATATAGAAGAGAAGCGGGCTTTGGTTGACGAAGAATGCCTCGTATATAGGTACGTATGCCCTTAAATGCTACATACTTACATAAAAGCATTAAAAACGCTATTATCTTAAATGAGTAAGTAAAATATTTTACTGATTAGATTCGTTTTTTTTTCAAGAGCTATTAGCTGTTGTTTATCACCAAAACACTGCCAACCAACGTCAACTTAAAACTGCAGCCATTTTATATTTCATTTATACATACATACCTACTTATAAAGCTACAAAAATTAAGCTTATTGAAAAAAAAAATATTTAAGGAAAACATATTTTTGCATAATAACTAAATATTTACATATACCTGTTCGAGTAAAATAAATATTTCTCGCTCTACAAGCGGTTAATAAATAACTGAGCCGCGTTTAAAATATGCAAGGAAACTACGTTTTCTTTAACATACTCATGGATTTCGTTTTTAATTTGCAGTTTTCAATCATCGGAGGCCATTCACTTAAAGGATAACAGTTGCATGATATATACGGAGCCCTAACCGCTAAAATAACGTAAGCGACAATTTTTTTTTTTTTAATTTTCTTTTTGACACAGAAATACATCCTTTTGTGCTATACGCGTATATTCGAAAAAAATATATCATACAAATTGACTTGCCGTAATGTACATACATATATGTTTTTTTAATAAAAAAATGGTTTTGAGCGATGAAAATCTTTATTTCGAGCTTTACATTTTTTTTTTCAATTAAGCGGAGATATCCGTTAAATGGATGCCGCCAGTTTTGATACACATTTGTGCCCATTTTATCGCATTTTCCATGATTTTCCGCAAGATTATTTCCGGTGATAACTGTTCGCTTTGCTGTCGAATATTCTCCTTAAGGGCTGCGATTGTCTGAGACTTTTTGGCATAAACCCGCAGCGACTTCACGTAGCCACAAAGAAAGCAGTGATTACGAAGAAGGGGGATTAATTTTGTACTAACTTGTACGTACTATGTATCTAGTTTTCATTTTTCGTTTAAATTGTACCAAATTACGTACGAAATATGTATGTATGTACGCACATATGAAAATTACACTCGTACCAGTTTCTGCACGTCATCCCCACCAAGGTACTTCTACAACACGAGCAATTCAGTAGTAGACTATAATAAGTATTAGACCCAATTAGACTAGGCAGTCACGCACTTTTGTGAGTCATCTTCATTGAAATCCAATGAAGAAAATAAAAAGTTATCAATACCAACAAGCTATTGAGCTACAATGGATATAATTTAAGTATGTATTTATTTGCTTTCTTACTATTATCGTCGTACTTATGTACCCTTGTAGGCCCCCGATTGACAAATAGGTAGGTATTTGTGTACATATGTACATTTGCCAATCGGGTGAGCACTGTTTGTTGTAATGCCCCTAATTTCCTAAATGGCGAAATTTGCATTTATTAAGCAGTTGGGAAAATATTACATATTATATTTTTCCATTCTAATCTTTGTTTGAAGTCCATCTATCTGCTTTTCTATTGCCTATCAACTAGTTCACCAAAGTTTTAAAATTAATTGACAAGGCACAATAGCGTATGCTTGTTAATACGTAATGACTCAGTAGACGCTGACAGTTAGCATCTATCAAAAACACTATTTTGCCCTTGAAATCCATTCAGAATTTCAGTACAATGCACTAGGTAAGTATGTATATTCACTTAGCATGTTTTCAAGGTTAGGCGTGTTTGATAAGAAACTATTTAGTAAATTCAGCGTATGCTCGAGATATATATATTTACATACATATGTATATAAATATGTACAACCGTTTGCTCCTTGAAAATAAATTAGACTATACACAAGGAAACAAAAGACTCCGCTGCGTATACGTACTCTGTAACATAAGTCCATCAGTGATCGGACTCCAAAAAAATTTTGTGGTAGAATCTGGGAAAAAATGTGGTAGATCTAATGTTTTGGATCAAACTTTGTACAAAAACTAAAAAAATTCTGCAAGGTTTCACCTAAATTGCAAACATTTTAATTAGAATCTAAAAAAAATAATTTTAATATAATAAAGTGCAAGATTAAAGTTGCTAAAAATTGCGTTGAGTTTTGGCAATTTTTTTCCTTGACAGTGTAAAGCAGTTCTTTCCATATCAAGATAATTTTCGAACATATTTTGAAAGATTTCTGCAACCTTGCGCAGTGCTGCCAGCTTTTTTTTTATCACATCACGATGTACACGATTTTTTTAACATTTTCGCTATTAATGTTTGTTTATAAATCATATATTTTTCAAATTAACTCAATAAAACCACGTTTCCTGTCGAAATTTGAATATTGACAAAAATTTACTATTTTACAGTTTATTTCATCCTCCCATTCTGCCTGTTGTTAGTGTTTAGTGTTGGACAATTTTTGCGCTTAAAATTAAGAAAATTATGTCGAGCAGAAACCAAACTAAATACTAGAAACGCGAATATGTGGTAGATTTCAGACCTTTGTGTGGTAGATGCTAAAGAAAGGGGCAGATCTACCACAATGTGATAGCAGTCCGATCACTGGAGTCCACGTGATATGCTGCATATTTCAAGGAGCACTTCCGACTTAGCCAGCGATTAAATATGAAGGCAGTTACGTGATCTAAGTTTAAACTGGCTCTTAAAAATGAGCACCAGGCCTGGCTTTTTTATATTTTTAACATAAAAACCCGATATCTACCATAAACATCAGCGAAATTCCAAAAAAAGAGTATTATTTTTTTTTTAAACTTAGTGCTCTACATAAAAATTCTTTAAAAATACGCGCATATACATATGTATATCGTGATATTAAGGCTAGCACTATCCGTGTATTCTGATATCCAGATAACCGTTTGGAAACTCGTGTATACGTATTAAATGCGGATATCCGGATATTCGATTAATATCCATTAATTTTGCTATCCGAAAATCCGGTTAATATACGTTAATTTTTTTTTATTTTATGCGGATATCGGTTAATGAGATAATTGTATATTCAGATTTTTTAATAAGGTATTCAAATATCCGGATATTCCAAAAATCCGTATAGAACCATCAGCCCTATGTGAAATACTTACATATTTACATACGTACATGAAAATGCGATTATTTTAAGTGAGTAAGACTTAGTAATACACAAAAATATTTACGTTATCATATCTACTTTCATTTAAATCGTCGATAAACCGAAAATCAGGTGCATACGTATTTTAACAGTTGTGTATGTATGTACAGAAAAAAAGCCCAGTGGACAAAATCACAAGAAAAGAGACTTCTTTTTTCGGAACTTATAAAGCAAACGGTCTTCCGCGCTCGAACAAAGCAGCAAAGCTCTGTTTTTTGTATCGTATGGTTACATTAGAAGATGGAAATGAGCGAAATTGTTTCCCTTATTTGAACTCTGGTGCTTTGAAACATACACCTTCCCGTCTGCCTTCGAATGGTAGTGTTATAAGATATTTTAATACAGCTACCAAATAGAAATTCGTATTGGGCGTTTATTTAGAAGCGAATAGTTTTAAACCTTATCACACATTTTTCATATAATCCATTTGCGTTCGTATCGAATTCGGATAACTAATCAATAAAACCAATGCAGGCAATAGTAAGTGGCATTATTCATGCGTACATATGTATGTATGTAGATATGAAATTTGCTTTGTGGTTTTGAATGTATATTTTTACGTACAATATAATGAATATTATGCACGTAAGTAGTCTAAATAAAAATACGTTCTTTGGATAATAAGTATTGGCTTGTCACTAACTAAGCTGTGCTATGATTTTGACGCATATTTGTTAGGGAGATAGTGAAATAATATCACTTCTTTACACTGACGTACGTAGGGCAGTTATGGTATATTACACTATAAAGTACTA